TTTAAAACTTGATGGGTGGGAAAGTGTCGTCAAAGCTTGGGTGGGAAAAGGTCGTTCTCCCTTTGTTAAATTGAAAAGGTCAATGATTCTGACCCAGTTGGGACTGAACTATCAGCCTTCGTTTGGTTCAAAATTGGAAATACTACTCTTAGTATTCCCAAAAAAGTTAAACAATAAAATACCCAAAAACTCTCATTTTTGGGAATACTACTTTCAATATTATTCAATTTTTTTAAACCCTCTAAATTTGTTAATTTAATTAAATACCCCTAAATATTTTTTAAAAAATTACAAAAACACCTCAACAATCCACATTTACCAGATTCCGGCCACTACTGCTAGAAAATGGCCGGAATCTAGTAGGATGGCGCACTACCGGCTGAATCTGACCGGTAGTGCTTCGATCTAGCCTTTTCCGGCCAGATCCATAGTGGATTTGGCTGGAAAAGGCCAGATCTTTGGTCGTAACAGTCGGTCACGAAGGCCAACAAACGGTCGTCGTTGACCATCAACGACGACCGTTTGTTGGTCGTCGTTGAGAGCAAATACGGCTAGATCTGGCCGTTGCCGGCCAGATCCACCGTGGATCTGGCTAGAAAAGGTCATAGCGGCGTATGACCGGCAAGATCCAACCGGTCATGCGCCGATAAGATGACTCCAGCCACCTCCGGTGGTGGTGGCCGGCTGGGGGTATTTGAGGGTGGGTTAGGGGTGTTTTTGTTAACTTTTAATGTTTTATTATAGGGGGTATTTTGTAAAAAAACAAACATAGGGGGTATTTTAAATTTATAAATCCTACCTCGTAATACTCGCCCAATTTAACTTTTTTAAAAAACTTTTCCCAAAACCCCCAAATTTTGAACCAAACGAAGCCATTAGCTTTAAACAATTTTATAGCATTACTCATAACTTTTTAGGTGGGATTAACTATTTTTTTTTTTTTGAATTTTTAATATTTGATTTTTTGGCTAATTAAAAAATAATAAAAAATTTATAAAGTAAAATATTTAAGGGTATTTTTACTATTTTAATAAAATATTAATGAAAAACATAACAAAATCTAACAAAGGATGGGAAAGTGATGGGTGGAAAAGTGTCAAAGCTTGGGTGGGAAAAGGTCGTTCTCCCTTTGTTAAATTGAAAAGGTAAGTGATTCTGACCCAGTTGGGACTGAACTATCAGCCCTTAAGTCAAAGACCATAAATATTAGTGTCTTCATGAAACTTCCTCGAAGACTAATTTGACAACCAAGTAATTAAGGTGTATTTGTTTGACAATTCTGAGGACTATACTATTAATATAAAGCATTCGCCGACTCTGAGGACTAATATTTTACAGCAGGTGTTAACATTAATGAATTCCATTTCATATTTTCTAACTTTTTCCAAATAATCTGGCTCCACTTTTGATGTTATATATTACATATTTTTCTTCGTGTTCATACTCTTCGTAATCAAATGTTACACATACAGGTTCTATATATATATATGAAGCTTCCTCTTAAAGAGATCAAAGACAAAACAATTTGGCAAATGGGCGTATCAATTTGACAAATGGGCGTCTCAATTTTGACGAACTTCTTACCTGTTAAAAGTATCTCAAATATATATTCATGCTAGCTGGAGTCTCTAAAAACATAGGTAAAATCTATAGCATCTATTATTTTAAAACAGGCCACCTTTACCAATGAAGGCCATTTCTTATTCGCTCACTTTCTTCTTGATCCATGGAATTATACTTTCACACTCTATTTACACGGCGAAGGCCACTGAAATTGCATCTGCTGGCTCATCGTTGGATGCTGTATCTTCTCATGTGCCTTTTCGTAATTTGAAGGTGGTAATTGCATCAACCCCGCCACCCTCTCGGCCCGGTGTTAGAATTACGCCCAAGCCACCTATTAATAAGCCAAACCCACCACCTCCGCCACCAGCAACGGCACCGCCACCGTCAGTATTATAAACTTACTCTGCCTATATATTGAGAGAAACTATATATACATGACGACTCAAGTGTTTATCTGCCTGTTATCATAGCCTTTGACAGTCGGTAGCATCTTGGCTATGATGAAATGGCCGTTGTTCTCTTTCTTCTTGTACGATTTATATTTTACCGTGAACGAAATTTTGCAAGTTAATTAATTATACAAGTTTAGTGGCTTTAACCTTTGTGTGAAGTACTATACATGCTAGTTCATTCAGCAGAAAGTCGATCGGTTTATGCAAGGTAGACCATTTTCTTTTTTTTTTTTTTAAAATAATGGGGGTGCCCTCATCTATTCCACTAGGACCATGTGGTCGGGAAAAAGTTCAAATGGCAATCCTTATTAGGAGCTGTAGGGACTCAAACTCGGGAGACTATATAAACTTAGATTCTGATCCTTTGCTCTTTTATCATCAAATCATCCCGTGGTGTTAGACCATCGCTTTTTATCCTCTGTAAAATATATAAATATATTATATGATATTTATGTTAACTATGCTCCAATGATACTTGTTAAATATGCTCGGTAAAGTATTAAAAGTGCATTAAAAGATAAAATTTAATTTACAAGATTTAATTTAGTTGAAAACATAAATTATTTTTATCCTTGATCAAATTTTTAATAAGAATTTAAGAGAATCTTATATCTTTTTTTTTTTTTTCAATAAAGATCAATTCTTTAAACAAACATAAATCATAAAAACACCCTAAGAAAGCTGGTGCAAAAGTATATATTAATTATAAGAATTTGAGAAAGAAATCTCAATAATCATGACAAACATGAGCTAATTAAAACATTAGATAATCAACTAAATCATCAAATTGAAGCCAAAGCATCATTTGGGGTAGGTATAGGAGAAGGATTGTAGGTTCAAAATTTATGAAGCATAGTGGAAGTGGGCCTGGAGATGAAATGAGTGAATTTACAATTATTTAATAAGTTTGGATTCATTCAAAGTCTCAAAAAGGAGTTCTTAAAGTGTATGATGTGAATTATTGATGCAATGTCACCTTAATTTATACATATGTTTATATTACATTATTATTTAAAAAAATTAATAACTTATCCCTATTTTATCATTGGTTATTAACCAATGTCTATTTAAAGGAAAAAAAACAACTTATAACATCTTAAATTAGATAATATTGGTTACTATTAAATGCAGTTAACATGTGTCTTAGTAATGGCCCTTAGAATAGTGCCATTTCGCGCCTAATTTAATGGTTTTAGTTGGCTTATGTGAGGCGGTTTAACGGCCCTTGCTGTGTATCATAACGCATATTTAAAGAGCATAGATAGAAGCTATCAACAGTGTCACAAGAAGCTTAATTTCCCAATGATTTCCATTTTATATTTTCTGATCACTTCCTTCTTCATCAATGGACTGCTACTTTCGCAGGCCACTCAAACTGTTTCTTCCTTGAAGGTGGAACCCCAAATGGAGCTACCACTTCATTCTCGCAAGTTGAAAGAGCCAGAAAGAGAACTACCAGTTCTTTTTCGCAAATTGCTCATGGAACCCGAAAGGGAGCTACCAGTTCTTGAGGTGGAGCCTCGAAGGGGGATACCAATATGGTCACCACCATCACCGAAGCCGAATAATCCTCCGCACTGACACCAACTTTGCCAAGCATTACTTCTAACATCGCCAATATATATATAATCTGAATAAAGCAATGGTTGATATGGTAAAGTACACTATGGTTCAAGTGTATTTGTATAATTTGCAATTATTTTGCCTTAATTAACTGTATGATGTTTCAATTTAGTTAATAATGAAAATTACACTAAGTTAGGGGTGCACTAACTTAGCAAATACAATGTATGGTTGTTTAATGTGTTCTGAAATCCGCATACTACAGTTATTTGAAGCCTGCAAAACTCATGCTACTTGTTCTGTTAAATCCATCTTTCTCTCATAATGGACCCATATATATATATTAACAGATTTAATCATCTCCCTTTGAGTTTATTAATAATTCAAGAGGAAGAATAACATTTTTTAATAATTGTGATAGATTTTATATATATTAATCGATTAATAATGAGATATATGAAATAAAACCTTTTAATATAACTAATGAAATAGCAGTTTAAATATTTTTATTTAATTATGATGTTTTGTTAGCATTTTCCAAGTTTTTTGTTTTTTTTGTTTTTAAAGAAAATTAAAAAACAACTTAGAAATCTTACGTAGACTCTCTTCATAATCTGGACCTTCGATCGCTCCTTTAACTTCGTGTTAGTGGCACCCAACTATGACATTTTTTATTGAGCCAAAGTCTGGGCCAGTTACATATAAAAGGCGATTTGCATACAAAGGTCCCCATGTAAATCAATGCTGAAGCAAACCATGGACGTCAATCCATGTTTCCTCAGTTTCATCTTCATGATCTAGAGCTTGCTACTTTCACATATTAACATCGCAAATGCCTCCGGAGCTGTTTCTGATTCTTCTGATTATGATTTCCCCTACAATTTAAAGGTCGTGTCTAGGAAATTTTCTATTACACCTCCACCACCATCGCCTATGCCTGGTGGTCGTATTTACTTCAAAATCTCTCCTCGTCGACCACCTACACCACTACCGTCGACTTCGCAACCACCAGAATAGTGCTACCACCTCCGCCCACATCATCTTAATGTGTGATTTTAGTTTTTAGCATATCAAGGATTCAATTAGCAACTTTCTGTTGGTAATATTATTGCAATTATATTACAAAAGAACAGTTCCAAGTGCTTAATTGAAGACGTTAACTACACTCGCAAATACATTTGAAATGAAACTTTGAATGAAACAAATTAACTAAAAGGATTGAACCTATCTAATTCTCGAAGACCAAAGTCAAAGTCTCCCTATGAAGCTTCCTCTCAAGACCAAGAGTCTAATAAATTGACAACCAACAAGTAACTAGTGACATATTTGTTTGACAAGTTTGGTAATATGGTTATAAAACCACTCACACATGATATAAAAAGAGCAGAACTTGGTACGAAATTACAACAAGCACTAACAATGAATGATGTTTCATATTTGTTCACTTTCTTCTTCATCCATGGACTGCTACTTTCACATACAACTTTCATTGTGAAGGCCACTCAAACTGTTTCTTTGGATACAACACCTTCTCATCACGTTGTTTTTGGTAGGTTGAAAGTGGTGCCTAGTAGAGTCCGAAGGCCTATTACATCACGGCCCCCGCCGCCTGTGGGGAATGTTCCTCTTCATCAGAGTCCTCCTCCTCCGCAGTGGTCACCACCTGACCCGCCCATGTTATAAGCAGTACATCCACCACGACTACCATCTTAGTATGCCAACTACTTATGCCATGGTTCCAGTGTTTGTGTCCCGTTATTATGCTTACTCGAGTACGTACTCTGTTTAAATGGGTCTTTTCTCTGTTATTTTCTTTGTAGTTTGAAAGAATTAACGAGTACTGTCATGAAAAATCTTCAATCTTCTCCAGAAATATATTTATTAATATACCCAAGAAACTTTATGGTTAAGGATCGATGTTCGAGTAACTTTTCATCCAGTATGAAATTTGTTAAATCATTCTTCAACCTACATGCTTAGCCAATGGTCATATGAAGTAATTTGAAGTATAGCAGCTTTTTTCGAAACTGCAAAAGATCACCAAGTCAATAAACATTTTCTTAATTTTACTATTAAATTAAGGGGGGAAAAAATAGAAAGATGATTATCTTTCTCTGCGTAAATTGCCTTATATATGGTTCTAATGCTTATGCTTCATTTATCTGTTTCTTATGATCTAAAAGTTTCCTTGTATATGGTGATGATGATCTCAATTTTATGTTTATTGTATGAATTATTTGGTTTTTGTTGAAAAAAAAAAAAAAATCCTTAGATGTCTTGACAATCTTTTTATTAGAACTATATATGCTTGACAAGTCGTAAATTTTGGGTACATTAGGTATTTATTGGCCTCGGGATTTACGAATCATCCTCACATATAAAAGACTATGGCTAGCTAACTATTGGTGTTTTTAGCAATAAGCCTTGTGCAATGGCTGCCAAATCATATACATGAGTTATTGTTTTTTTTTTTTTTAATTAAATTTCATTAGAAGAAAAGAAAGAATATACAAAAGCCATAAAAACTCGACCAACCTATCTTAGGACATGTCCTGGGTTAGATGCAAAAGAAACAAGTAATCTAAAAGACTCTATCAAAAGGCTAACTAGGCAAGAGGCTATATAAAATCAAAAGTCCACTCTCCTCTTGTTATGCAATCTTAATACCAAGAATGTGAACAAGATGAGCACAATCGAACCAACCCACACAAAGCAATTAAAACCAACGAAAAATATCAAAAACAAAGAAACAGACTCCTCCCACTGAACAAGCCCCTTCATTTCATCTCTGCTCTAGATTTATAACTCAAGTTTCTCTTGAGTTAACAAATTATTAGACTCGTGATTCATGCTTGGATGGTAGTAATTGCTAAAACTATGGTCCTCCCTACTTTCTCTTGATGTAATTTTTCCTGGACTAGGTGCCATCAACTGGTCAGCTTCTTGGAATTTGTTTTGGCAAATAGTCAAGATTAGGTTGGCCATCATTAAAGGAACCCCAACAATTTTGACAAATTTTGGTTGAAAAGTCTTGGGAATATTGTGGGCACAACTATAATATATAGCCACCTCCTGGTTCTATAAATAGCAGGCCACACCTTGGCCAGATATAGGAACAACCAAATGGATGCTAATCACTTACTTGCTTTCATCTTGATCAATGGCCTGCTACTTTCACATATTTCTTACACGGCCATGGCTATTGGAGAATCTTCTTTGTCTTCCCATGATTTTCCTTATAAATTGAAGATAGTTTCCAAGAGATCCAAAGCGCCTTCGCCGCCTCCACCTATGCTCAGTACTCCTACTAAATTCAAAAGCCCTCCTCCATCACCATTACTACCATCACCACCACCACCACCACCATGGATGCCACCACTGCCACCTTGATCAGTGCTAGTACTTGTGCCGGTTCATCTTAATTTGCTAATAACCCTTTATTGAAAATATGGTAGAAGTGTTTGTTCTTTTGAATAAATGGTAGAAGTTGTATCATCAATATTTTGCCTCGTTGTTGCATATCATGGGTGTATTGAATATGGTTGCACTCTAACTCTTATTCGTAAGTTATATGAATAAATCTCAAGCAATCTCTTATCTCTCTCTTTCAATGTGATATTTGGATGAAATTATTTTCATCAATTGGTCAATTTCTCTGCACCTGGACGCTATTGATAGGAACCTGCATTGTGTGATATTTTTAATGCACTAAGTTGACTGCGCCTTAAACAGTGGCTTAGAATATTCAGAACTTGGTCAGAGTCAGAGATGCCTAACTATATGTGATAGAATATAGAATATTTTATGAAACGGCTATAATTTCTGTTTACTTCACCAGCATAATATACCTTAACTCCAAGGTAAACGATTCGAGAATCCGGGACGCCTCATAATTCTACTCTACTTATAATATTTTTTTTTCTCCAAGAGTGGCTTAAAACCTGAATTTTGTGAAATATTAGCTGTACCCAGATACTTTTTTGTTTGCAAGTTTTCATTATCAAACCCCTGTTTCTGAACAAGTTGATATTTGATTTAGAGTAAAGACAAGCAACTATTTTTAACTATAATTTGACTTTTTGGGCCCTTTTGTCTTTCCTGGGAAAGTCGATTTTGAGAACTTTCAATGCAGCTTCCTGAACCAACTCTCCTCTCTCCAGATTAGTCATTTATAAAAGGCCAGATCTTTAATCCAGTTTTATCGATGAAGCAATGGATGCTAATTCCCACTTGCTTTCTTTCATCTTGATTCATTTGTTGTTAGTTTCACACATTAGTTATATGGTTATGGCTTCTGAAGCTGTTTCAGCTGTGTCCCATTATGATATTTCTTACAAGTTGAAAGTAGTGTCCAAGAAGAAACCTAGAAGACCCCCACCATCTCCTAAACCCAATTCCCCGGTTCACAACAGACGAGCTCCATCACCGCCGCCGCCGCCACCACCACCATATCCTTCTATAGGAGCATAGTGCATGATATGGTACTGGTAGAGCTTGTATCAGCAGTATTCTGATTTTCTTGTATGATTTAACTTTGTTCATTTTAACTCTTACTACATTTAATGATCTGAAAAACAATCTCTTTTACCTTCAATGTGATACTTAGTGAATATTTTTAAATCAATTTGTCAATTCTCAACTAGATTTTAAGTGATTGTCAAGATCATGCTTTGACTAAAGACTAAATTGCCAAAGTATTGCTGAAAAACCTGGATCATGAGATTATCTTGTAAAATGTGATAGTTCATCAATGTTTCATATGATAGTGCATTTTCTAGTGGGTTAGAATCTTTAGAACTTGAGCTATAATGAAAAATGATTGTGGACCTGCTGAGTTCGTTTGACCACACCAATACAGTNTATTTGATATACAATTTCGTACTATCATAATACTACTAAAATAATGAATTGAAATCCTAATACTACAAAAACATGAATCGAAATCCTCACACTACTAAAACATGAATTATAAAATGAGAAATCATAGCAATAATTTTTTAATCAAAACAATAATTTTTGTGATTACACCTCCGTTAAGTTATAACTTCCTTATAGTAATAAATTTAGTTGGTCCTAACATTATGACTATATTGATGTTATATTTTGATTTCTTATTTTATAATTCATGTTTTAATAGTACAAATGAATTGAGTGATCAAATTAAACAATTTCATTACACCAATCGAATGAATATTAATGTCTTCCTCAATCATCCAAATAAGCAACAAGTTGTGTATATTTTAATTGAAGAAAAAAATATTACTAGAATTAGACAAGAAGATGAAGGAGATAATCCTAAGAGTCTGGTTGGTAGAATTTTTTTCATTGGTTTTAAGGGGTTTTTAATTAGACTAGTTTTGAGGTGTTTTAAAACCATTACTTGCCATATTTTTTATGCGCTGGTTTTGACTGGCTCAAAGTGTTAATTTTATGGGCACATATGTTAATTTATTATTTAAAAAAAGGTTAGAATTGCTAGAAAATAAACTTCCAAGCAAAGGTTTGGTGTTTTAAAAACCGTTATTAAAAATCCCTCAAAACCGCTATGATGGTTTACCCTCAAAACCGCTATAGTGGTTTACCCTCATAACCACTACCATGAAACTCTCAAGCGGACCTTAAGGATGATAGTATGAAAATACAAAAAGTTTTGTGCTAAGAAGCTTTAAACATGCTTGAGAAGCTATAAATATTTTAGTTTCAACAAGAAAATGTTTATGCTGATGATTTATTATATACCCATAAGATAAGAAATGTGGTAACAACTCTAAAGCATAAATCACAATCACAGACAACTTTAGATAGATATCTTCTTTCATATTAAACGGTTAATGTAACATAATTAATATATATATATTGTAATATACATATAATTATTACTATGTAGAGGCAACTTTTCTTAAGACGGGAATTAGAAAAATTATAACTTATTACAATATGGAGTTTATTCTTAAGAATATAATTTTTTATGACTATGTAGAGTTTATTCTTATAAAGAGTATCACTATAGAGAAGTTTTACTATAGTTTATTGTAGAACCCCAAAATTTTATTTAAGAATCAATTTTGGGGTCCATTACAGTTAATTTTTAGAGTAAATGACTCTTTCCTACCCAAGGTTTGCCTTAAATAACATTTTCCCACCCAAAAAGTTTCTAAGTACCACTTTTTCATCTAAAGTTTATATTCCATTAATACCCAAAGCCAAATCCGATCGATTCTGGTAGCGAAAATTTTCACTGTTACCACCATTTGTGGAATTAATTATCCATGGGATTCCTATTTTTTACTCAATTCCAAAAAATAAATAAAGGAATTGAGAATCCTAATTTCATTCCCTAGTCAATTCTTAGAAGTAAATATGACCTGGAAGTATTGAACATGATTGATAATTACACACAACATTAACAATAAATAAAGGAATAAATTGAGTTGGTTTTTGGCATTAAGCAATGTTTTTAAACCCACACCGACCCAATCAAGGGGCTGGTTCCCGAGTTTAAAAACATTATTCATTACTATTCCGCCGATCCAAATTTGGTCCAATGGCTAAAACCGGATGTGAGGGGTACCTGGATCGGAGTTAGTGCCATGCTTCCTAGCCTGAATTTGTTGAAGTTCATTTTGGGCCATATTTCATAGGCCACAGCCTGAATTTATTGACTTCAAATCTCTTTAATTAAAGGTCCATATTTATTTCGTGCCCAGACAACATTTAATTTCTAGAATTGAGTCAATTAATTAACTTCAAAAGTTCATGCATTATGTCGGTAGATAAGAGATTAATTTATCAGTTTTTGGTAAGAATAAAATAATTACGGAGATGACTTCCAATTCTTCGTCAATTTCCAAATAACACGCTTACCTTGACAATTTTTGGGATCAAGTAAAGTTTTCTATCTTTTATGTTCATTGGGATAAACTTACCTCACTTTGCACATGTTTGACTTTTAAGTCTACCCAATCCCCAAGTTTAATCTGGACAAAATTATCTTTATAGTTTGGACAATATTACACTTATAATCCAATTTCATAAACTCTCTCTCACAACCTCTGTATTTGTAGATGAAAGATTAATTTATTAGTTTCTGGTAAGAATAAAATAATTACGGAACGGACTTCTAATTCTTGGTCAATTTCCAAATAACACGCTTATCTTGACAATTTTTGGGATCAAGTAAAGTTTTCTATCATTTATGTTCCTTCACTGGGATAAACTTACCTGGCTTTGCACATGTTTGACTTTTAAGTCTCCCCAATCCCCAAGTTCCATCTTCTTGAAGCTTTACAAAAATTATCTTTTTCAGAATAAGAATATAATATTTTTGAAACAGGGAAACAAAAGTAACCAAAATAGTTTGGACAATATTACACTTACAACTCAATCTCACAAACTCTCTCTCACAATCCTTATATTGATCGAAAAGAGATTAATTTATCAGTTTCTGGTAAGAATAAAAAAAATTACGGAAAGGACTTCCAATTCTTAGTTGATTTCCAAATAACACGCTTATCTTGACAATTTTTGAGATCAAGTAAAGTTTTCAATCGTTTATGTTCCTTCATTAGGATAAACTTTCCTCACTTTGCACATGTTTGACTTTTTAAGTCTCCCCAGTCCCCGAGTTCCGTGTTTAAAGCTTTACCAAAAATTATCTTTATAGTTTGGGCAATATTACACTTACAACTCAATTTCACAACTCTCTCTCACAACCCCTATGTCGCAGCTTCCAATTTTCTACTTAAGAATTTTCCAAAATTCAAAATTCACCAACAAGAAATTGGGAGCTGCCTGTAGGGGTTGTGAGAGAGACTTTGTGAGATTAGGTTGTAAATCAATATTTATTATTATAGTCAGTAGCGGATCCAGAAATTCTTGTTAGGATGGGCCAAAATAAAATGTAATAGCATATAATATTCATATTCTATGTTTTTAGTTGAAATTGACATAAAAAGAAAAGAAATTACATATAAATATTTTCTTTTTTTAAATTTGACACACCCTCAATGTACTCTAGATCCGCCCCTGATTATAGTCTACTTTAACAGTTGAGGCGGACTTAACGGAGAAAAGTATATTTACATAAACTTATTGCATACATACCTAATATACAGAATATATATGAACATGAAAACTCTTCTATATATAGCATTAGGAATTAGGATAATTAATCAAGTTGTCGTTTCATTATGGATTTTGGTGCTTGCTTGCTTCTGCTAATGGTATTAAATGGCGGGGTATTACAAACTTTGCAGATGAGCGAAGGCAATAGAGTTACAGCACAATTAGTGGTAGATGTGCATGATATGGATGCTATTGAAATGAAGGTGGGCTTAAGAAGGAGAATTTTGAGGCCAGTGCCAACATTCTCAAATCCTTCTCCAAATCCTTCTCCAAATCCTAACAGACGTCAGCATCAGTGGTCTCCAGGAGGAACTCATTAATGCACTTCCAAATTATCTAGGACTTGAATTCTGAAATAATCTACTTTTCTTGTTTATGTAAAAGTCATTTGGTATCTCTACATATATAATTTTCATCTTTTTAGGATTCTCTTTGTCTGAGTATAAAAATGGTGTACCTTTTTTAAAGTCAGCACACTTCAAATAAAACTCTGTTTGCAGCAACAAACTCTATTTTCTGCTCTCAGCAATTTATTAAGCCATAATAGAAAATTACATTTTGTGATGGTTTAAAAGATAAATGTATGGTAAGCTGTAAATATAGGTATCTTGTATCTAATTTACGTAAAATATTATACAATATTTATAAGAAATTATATTTCATTTAATTTGGTTCAACGTGACCGTCTTAAGAACATTTATGACTCTAGGCAAGAGTTACTTCAAGAGCTTTCGAATAATATAAGCATAAATTAAAAAAATATATTTCAAATTTATGTTTCTTGCCTTTTGAGATACAAAATCACTAATTGAATTTTTGTATTTAAGTTTGGAAACCAAATTTTTTTTAATTGATAATATAGTCAAATTATCTAATCTTTCTTGTGACATGATTGAACTCAAATAAGATTTTATTAACTTTAATTTTGAAAAAAATTCTTTTTGCTGAAGCTACAGTAACAGGAATAGTTAATAGTATTCGATAAACTATCTATGCATTTAGAAAAGAATTTACCTTTTCTATAAAATCTATGGCTCTATATGCTTCACTATTTAGGCACTCTTTAGAATAAAATTTGAATTTGAATATGTGTTTAGTACGTTATTTGAATATTATATTAGAGTTAAATAAATTGTTGAACAATTGTCTGGTATATTTTTTCAAAAAGGATTTTAAGATAAAATATTTTTGGTGCATTTTATTAAAAAAATTTATTATTTGATTTTGAAACTTTTCAATTTAGATTTAAATAATATTAATTAGTTGTTTTGTAATTTTTTTATCACTAAATTAAAAACAAATTCTCCATAATAATTTCAACTAATAATACATCATTTAAAAACACG